GGGGGTCGGGTAGCCCCCCGGCAGGGGTCCGGGGGTGAAACCCGTACCCCAGCTTGGGCCCCGGGGATCCCCGCGTGACAACCCTGCTTCTGGGTGCGTTCTCCGGTCCAAGCGGATGGAAATCGGCAGTCTGCAGGGCGGACATGTAGCGGTCCTTCATTCATACCATCGGGTAGAAGGCTAGACAAGAGGTGCTGTCACACGGTGACCGTTGGGCCCGGTACCGTGGCACTGTGTGGGCTTGGGAGGTCCACGAGATTCCGGTTTTCAATTTGTCACGCGCACCAATGACCTTGCAATTTTGAAATTCGTTGTCCAGTCGTGGGGCCAACATACAACAGCGACATAGGTTGGCTGCATGCACAAGCCGGCTGTTTTCTTCCGCCATTGTTCCCGTGCAGAGTGCGAAGGAAGGTCATCGTCCATAGCCATGTACGGGTCGTTTGTGAGTGGTGTACGCACGTCATGGGGGAGTCGGCTACTTCCTCTCTCAAAGCCAAGCTCCGCGGGCAGTGAACGGCAGGCCACGCATTGTGTCACAAACGCAGCTTGGCAGACTCGTTTGCGCGTGTTGCAGTCGCCAAAGGTTACCAGCAAGCAAGAGGGTGCACTATGTGACAAGGTGTCGGATTTCTTCCCGTCAACTTTTCTACGTCGACCGTTGGCGAAACTTGGCGATGGTGTTCACGTTGGCAGAGGACGAACGGACGGCGACTACGATTCCACGGTGTTGAGCGGACAGGGAGGTCATGGGTGGCAGGACCGTACCCCCTGGTTGATTGGTGTTGACACGCGTGCTGGCCATGTGACGGATCATCCCACAATTCTCATCAGAAATCGTGAAGGGGTGGCATGCAACTTTGGGCCACTTTTTGAGCTGCGATGCTTTCCATATGCGTGTTGCTGTTGTCCTCCTGTAGTCATCATCGTTGAAGGTTCACATAAGGGTCGTGGCTGCTGCTCAGGTAGTTTTGCCCACCGCTCGACCGTTGTTTTTTTTCTGCTTTTCGGTGTTGTCCTGCTCGTGGTTGCAAGCGTTGCTGTTTTAACATTTGCGGGTGTTGCCTCTTTCTATTTCAGGATGCGTGGATGATGCGCTCGGTGCGGGTTGGTGACGCAAACGCAGATGCGGATCGCATATGGACGAATAGAAAGGTGTGTACATGCATGTACTGACACACAACAAGGAAGATAGAGAGATAGATAAATAGATAAATAGATGGATGGATGGATGCATAGATACATAGACGGATATATACATGGATAGATACATACACACATAGACAAACAGGTGTGTGTGCAACTATGAGAGGATAGAGTGCAAGATTGAGAGATGGAGAGTTGCGTAGCACATCGAACATGTTTGGTGCCCCACCGAGCATCTAAACATGTTCGGACGCTCAGTCGAGCGGGAACTGAACATTCTCGGCCGAACACAAAAAAAAGGAAAAGAAGAAGAAAAAAAAAAACCTTGTTTCCCCGTGTGTGTGTATGTGCATGTGTGTATGTTCAGGAGTGATGGGCAATGGCCCCCAGAGCCCCTCCAACCCCTATATATAAAAAAATAAATAAAATTATAAAAATAATAATAATACTGAAAATGTTCGGGCTCGGTCGATTTTGGGCCAGGTTCGGGGTTCAGTCACCGAACCCGAACACTCGTCGATGGTCGCAGGAGTGTAGGGGCACGAACGATCGTTGCAAGAGGGTGGGTGGCGAGAGAGAGGACTG